CACAGAAATACAAGATACTCCATATGCCAGGTTAATCAGTTTTGAAGAGTTCTATGAAAAAAATATTTCAGTCAAACATGGGAAAAAAATAATTGATTTTCAACATAAATATCCATCAATGAATTTTCCAGTCATTATTGCCCATTTTTTTCCTAGATTAGCATATCATTAACATTTTATATGGAATTTTGCACTAGTAAAGGAAAACAAGAGAGATTCAATTGTATCATATCTAGATAGATCAAAGTAAAATCACACTTAGGATAAAATCAAGGATCCAGATGTAGAAACCCCACTAGTCTCAAAGAGAAAGTTACATAAAATTAATAACAGATGAACTCAAAAAGAAAAAACCTAAAATCTAAAACACTAGAGAAAAAAACAATAATTAAGATAAAGATTGAATTTTTAAGCAAAACCCAGACAAGGATGAAGATCATACCACTAAAATTGAAGACTTTAGACATGAGTATGGTTGAAAAACACTGGGGAAGTAGAATCTGCACTGTCCAGGACCAAAAAACCCTCTATGGAGAGCAAAAATTGACAGATCAACCAAAAGAAACACAATTAAAAGAGCTTGAACAACTGATTGCATCAGAAAATCAGGTAGCAAGAGATCATTTGGAAACCCTATTGAATAGGGCAAAAAGAGAGAAAAAAGAGGTAGAAGGAGGATGAGGTACAAAACAATGAGGTTTGTGTGTGGGTGGTGCTGTCTTCTATCTATATTTTTGTTTGTGTAAAGTGGGGTTAACATTTTCTATTTTTTATTTGTATATTTTATTATTAGGAAAGAGAGAAGAAAAAGTATCTAATTCAGATACAATGAACCAAATCTATAAATGATCTTGACATGATGCTATGTTCAATGTTTCTTGCATTTATTTTATTTTTTTTATGGTGGAAAATATTCATTTTATATAACACAATGACCTACCTATAAAGAAAACCACAAATTTCAATGAAATTTGGTAACCATCAAACACATCTATGTGGTTAAGTTAACTATGACAACAGGTTAGTTTAGTTGGGTAAGAAAAGAAAACCATGGATGCCCCAACTGGTATTTAACTTTACCTATTTCCAACATAGTACTTTTTTTTTGGGGGGGGGAGGGGTTTCAAAGGGTTGATATATTTTTTCTTAGGTCCGTTTGGTTATGCGATATGAAATCATGATATAAATTATGATATGGTATTATCATATAGAATCATGAGATGAAATTGAAATTTTGTTTGGATATGCGATATGAAATTTTTGTGTTATATATTTTCTCATAAACATAAAAATTTCATAAGTGGTAAAACTATTAAAATAGCCCCAATTGTTTATTCAATCTTATCAAATAAACAAAAAATTATAAAATCGCATAATAAATTATTACAAAATTATTTGTTCTCCACTTAAGTAATTGTTTCATCTAACTTTAATTTAATTAAAAAGAATTGAACATAAATTGTAGTGTACTGGTCTTTAATACAATCATTCCACATAGTACGACAATTTCCTCACGTTGAACTTGCATTTCTCGATCATGTGACCGAGAAGACGAACCAACATTTGTTACTTTGAGTCATTTGTTGGTCAATAATAAATTTTATGTCGGTAAGAATAATAAATTTTATATGATTGAGAATAATAAATTTTAAAAAGTAATTATGTGATTATAAATTTTATTTACATATGAAATAAATGGTTAGTAGACATAAATGTGGGGTAGTTTTAACAAAATATAAACTCGTGAATCAATTTTTGTATTAAAATATCTCAAATCATGATATGAAATTCTCATATAATTACATATCATGGTTTTTGGAGAATATGGAATCACATCTCATGAGATGAAATCAGCGTAAAATCGCATGTCCAAACGCTGATTCCATCTCACGATACCATAGTCAAACTCCTACTTAGTAAGTACATACATATTAGGTAGTAATGTTTTTCGAGAAAATGACATAAATAGTCCCTTAACTATAGGAGTAGATCTAAAATGGTCCCTTAACTATACACTTAACAGATTTAGTCCTTTAATTATTCAAAAATTTATCTGCTTTGGTCCCTTAACTATACACTTACCGATTTTAGTCCTTTAACTATAAACTTATCGATTGTAGTCCTTTAAGTATTCAAAAACTTATTAGGTTTGATCTTTGTCCATTTTTTAAATACAAATAGCTTAGGTTTATATTAACGGAAATCTTCGTGAAATTAAATCTTTAACCCATTTTTTTAAGTTGTTTCTCTATCCCCGCCCTTTTTTTCTTCAAACTACTCTTATGAAAAAGAACAATAACGTCAACGATTCAAAATAAAATTGATGAGAAAAGAAGATATAAGTCCTAATTTTATTCAATGGAGGATAAAATTAAGCATATAATTATTGTTAATGACTTGAATCCGCACTTGAATATGCTAATCGGTATGGATTTTATTTAATTTACTCAAACTTCTTTACATAAAATAAAATGAATAGAATAATAAAATTGATCTATTTAAAATAAATTTTAAAAATTGTAAATCTACCATTTTATAAATTTCAATTCTGAAAAATTAAACAAATTTCATTCAATGAAGTCGTTGGAGTACAAACTTTGGATTTAACGGGTAATAATTTTTTTTCTTTTTATGATAAAGTCGAGCATATTCAAGTCATTAGTAGCAATAATATGCTTATTTTATCCTCTGTTAAATAAAGTTATGACTTATATTTTCTTTGCTCGTGAATTTTATTTTAAATTGTTGAGGTTAAGGTTCTTCGCATAAGGTTAATTTGAAGAAAAGTAGCAGAGAGAGAAACAACAAAAAAAATTGGTAAATGATTTAATTTCTCGAGGCATGAATTCCGTTAATATAAACCTAAGCTATTTGTATTTAAAAATGGACAAAGACCAAACTTGATAAGTTTTTGAATACTTAAATGACTAAAATCGGTAAGTTTATAGTTAAGAGACTAAAAGCAGTAAGTGTATAGTTAATGAACCAAAACTGATAATTTTTTGAATAGTTAAAGGACTAAATCCGTTAAGTGTATAATTAAGGGACCGTTTTAGACCTACTCCTATAGTTAAGAGACTATTTATGTTATTTTCGCAATGTTTTTCTATCATAGTTAACAGACTAATTTATTACAAGTAGCTAGTGTTACTATTTTACTGATGACAATTTCTCTTTATCGTTTTTAGTAGGGGTGTCAAAAATGAATTCAAACATAGGTAACCCGCCCAGAATTTTAAGGGTTGGGCTCAAGATAATTTGAATTGGGTTCAATCTCAACTCATTCAAGCCTAATCCGTTTTAAGAGAATCCTCAATTGAACTCAATTTAATCTCCAATTTCAACCCGCTTTAAAACTCTTTACTAAGATATGTTCCTTTATTAAATGTATGAATTATTATCTATTTAACATCTTTTAGGATTTATCAATTCATTTGTTACTTTTTAAAAAAAAATATTGAGCTGAAATTCAATTGTGATTATAAAAGTTAAATATCACTATGTTAAAATTATTGAGATTAATCGGGTCAAATTGGGCAGGTCAAGACCCAACCCAATTTTTAACCCATTTGAACCCAAAGTAAATTTGGGCGGGTCAAGACCCAACCCAATTTCTATTTCAACCCATTTTAATAACTTCAATTTTAACTCAATCTGTCCATTTGACGCCCCTAATTTTTAGTATCTGTTTGATGTAGTCAAGGGTTGTATAAAACGTGAGACTTTCTGCTTCTTGTTAGCTTGAAAACCTATTTAGCTAAAATATCTGCTACTTTATTAGTGTTGCGGAGACTATGACGGATCATTACATTTCTCACAAGTAGGTTGATCATGTGCTAGTAGTGCAACCAAGTCACTAGATTTATTTCTTAAAAATTCTTTTAATTCCACTAGAATTGGGTAACCTCAAAAACATTTTTTCCTTTTTTTTTAAGAAAAAAAACTAAAAGTACTATTAAACTATTTAAAATAGATTCATTTTATCTTCTGATATATATATTTTTTTCAAAATGTCCTCGTTGTTAAATAACTAGCATAAATATATCGTACAACTATTTAAATAGTTTTAAAATTCCTTCTTTTTTTTAACAGTTCCTCTAAAATAAGAGAAATTTTGCCTTGAACTACTTGCCCTCAATTTAAAATTCAAGACAAGACAAGTATAGAAGTCACTTAATGCGAGTTATAAGGTATAATAATTAATGAAATAAAATGTACGATTGTTTCATCATGCGTTTGATTGGGGTTATTAGGTAGTCATTGAATTATTTATCCCACCATTTATATTAGGGTTGTGTATCGATCGGTTTGGTTCGGTTTTGAAATTTATCGGTTTGACTTATTGGTTATCGGTTTGTATAGATGCTAAACTGTTATAGAACCATTAAGATATTGGTTTATCGGTTATTGATCATTATCGATTCGGTTATCGGTTTAACCATTAAAATTTGACAAAAAAAAACATTGAAAATCACTTAGAAACAATGTGACAAATCAAATGAATCATGCACATGAGTTTACAAATTACATCTTGCTCAAAAGCAAACACTTTTACATTATAGAATAACCAAGAGTTTGAGACAACCAGAAATAAAAGTAGGAAATCAAACTCTAAGTCAAGGAATTTATATACAAAATGGTATAAATATAATTATTGAATTTACTATCAGGTTATCGGTTAACCCGTTAAGAAAAAAACCTTAAACCGTTAAGAACCGATAACCCGATAATAAAAAAAATTAAACTCGTTATCAAAACCACTAAACCAATAACCCAATACTGATAAACCAATAACTTTTTTTCGATTCAGATTATCGATTTCGGTTCGATTTTGAACAACCTTAATTTATACCATAATGAATTGAGTTATCTTATATACATGGTGCGATAACTTCTTCAGAAATTACTTATCTCGAGATAATTAATCTCAAAATAACATGTTCCCAATCAAATGATAATGACAAGTTCTATTGAAAACTTCCTCTTATATATAAAATATATACTAGATAAGTATTGTCCGTGCGGAGCACGAGCCCAATATGATTTATAATTTGATCTGGTTATCCTCTATTACAGAAAGAAATCATTCTTTAAGATAACTTGAGTCCTAAATAGCGATAGTTACTTACAAATAATCATAATTTCAAAAACTATTTACAGTATGTTCAATCCAGTACATTTTTATGTACCCACAATGATGCCTCTATATCAGAATTTCTGAATATGAGTCAGCAATGGGTCTACATGCCAGAGGTCATCTTCTTCATGATCAACTATCTATTTGTCCAATTCATTTGAGTTATGGAGAGGAATAATATCATCATTGTTGATAACAGTCATCTCAACATCCTCATCTTCTTGCATGACCAAGACCACCTGTAGTTGATTAGGGCTGCTGTGGAGAGCATGCTGATCAGTGACCTCAGACACATTTATAGTGTGTAGAAGTTGTCGATGCTCCGACGGAATGACGGCTTCAATTTCCATCGTTACTGGATTGTGTCGGTCTACAAATTCAACCAAAACATGCCTTATTTGTTCATTCCAAGCAGCTGGGAAATCCAGGCCCATATTATTTTTACGTGGATGTGATCAGTTATGTAGCATTGAGTAGGTGCAGATGCAGAATTACTCTTCTATCAGATTTCCCTGGCTAATTTCCAGGCTGAAGTTAGATCAGATTTCTATGTGTTTTACTAATTGGGAGCCCCTTAAATCTTAGCTAGTATCCGTGGACACCTACAATATTAAGCGTTATGTGAGATTCAACTTCCAAATATGATTCAACCTCTATATTCAGTGATTTAACATGTACATCAATTGCCATTTGGTATTTCTCTTCAGTTCTAATTCCATGTAATTGTAGATTACAACCGTCATTGATGAACCAGTTCTTGCTTTGCTCAGACCTGTATATTTATTAAGCAATTCACTATATATATTTGACCGTGAACCCATTTATTATTATATACTAACTTGAGGTTTATGTATGAACCCGTAGAACCTCAAATCCTGGATCACTCTGCTTGCTCGGAGGAGAAGGATGATGTTGAGTGATTTAATGCTCTCCTCGTAACTTCTGCAGAGGTACATAAAGCATACAAAGTTCTCTTGATATTTTAAAGATAGCTTAAAGGAAATTACCTGGGCTAGGCAAATTGCTTGTTTCTTCAATTTGGTGAAATTTCTTCTCTTCCTTCAATTGGCATGTAGATTAGGGTCAGTAATAATTGGACTATAGAAAGACAAAACAGAGCCACCGAGATGCCTAGGGAAGCTAAGTAAATCAAGAAATATGGAAGAGCCATTAAATAATTGATCATTTATCCCATTTATGTAGTTGCAAAGGCAATTTCACCTGAAGCTATGTTGATCCCTCTATTAAAGCCATTAAGCTGAATTAAGAAGGCCACACACAAGCAACATGGACTTAGGCTTTTATGATTTCGCTTGATTCCCCACGTTGGGTTGAGGGATGAGTTGTTTGTCTACCTATTTGGTCTTGGGATATACTCATAAGTCACCTCATGAGCTAATTTGGTATTGAGTTAGTCCTAAGGTCCATTTCTTTAACGTAAGCCTCATGTATCAATATGAAATGAGGAATGGAACTTTATCTCCCACACACCTTACCCCCTGTGTGACTGAAATTGCTAACATACATTTGTCCATGTTTGGAATAACCAAAGTTATGTGATGACTCTCAAGTGAATAAAACTAATTGCCAAGGAGATATCAACCAGCAGTGGTGTGTGAAGTATTTATCCAAGTATATGGATGGGGTAGTTCTTACAGTCCCTTCAGTTACCAAGAGATACATAACAAACGTGCAGCAAATTGTTGACGCCTTCATGCAATAGGTCCTTTGATATTCATTAACATAAGCAATATCATTTTTCCCTTAATCTGAAAAACCTAGCAATCTCCTAAATGCGTATCTCAGATGGACAGATGAGGCAACAACCAAATAATAAATTGGCAGATTCGGAACAACCTCGAAAGCACAAACAATGTGATCTAACCTACTATTGCTATTTCCTGAATTTTGCAGTAGAAACACTTTAATATTCCCATTCTGTCGCACCTCCACAAAACTATATTCTCTTTTTGTCTTTCTGTGCCATCTTCAGGTGATCAAAGACTTTATTTAAGATATGCGTACACTCTACCCTCCCCAAACCCCACTTTGCGGGACTGCAGTAGGTGGGCTGCTGTTTTTGTTGTTTTAAAAGGAGTAGTTCATCAACAAAGATTAGAGCTTTTTCTTCATTAAATAAATCAAGCCTGGCAATTATAGAAACTTATTAACTAACTTTAACGGGGAAAAAAGTTACAAAATGCCAAGATCAAAGAGGATAACATCAATTCTCCAAAGCCCATCAACAATTCAGACACAAACATAACATTCAATACTAACACCCAAACAGAAAGCATACGCTAACACATAAGCTTCATCCAGCTTAATCAACCAAAACGGAAAAGCTATTATCTCACCGCAACGCATGCAGAGCGAAAACCCTAAAGTCTGATTCAGCTATAATTTCAAGAGCTTTGAAGATCCAAAATTAGCAGGCCCCAAATAAAATCAAACAAACTTGAAATCCCAAAAACATAATTCGATATAGCACATAAGTTAACCACACGAAATTTATAACCCAATCCAATTTTAGCAGAAAGAAATATGAAAATCTAATTGGGAAAAAGGGGAAAACGACAACTGAAATTGCAGACCTGGTAACAGCAGTATAAACAGAGCAGCTTCAGCAGAACGGCAAGGTCTTCCTCTATCTATATACAGTACAACAGTTTACCCTTTTGTATAATATAGAAGGAACCAAGAATGAAGTAAAAAACCTAAAGCAAAAGTAGAAACAAAAGGCAGAGAAAAGAAAATGGAGATGACCCCCAAAGCGTTCAAGATTATAGCTGAATTGAAGAAGACTGCGTGTTTGATGAATGTATAGAGAGGAAGACACGTATACATAGAATGCAGCCTTTGAGAAGGTGAAACGACAATAATATCCTGTTTACCTTATCACTTTGAAATGAGAAGCTAGAATTTTTGTCCCTATTTGCCAATTGAATGACCAACAAACAGACATGTTGAAATTTTCTGAAACTCTCTCTTCTATCTATACTAGAAGGGCAAGGCCCGTGCTGAGCACGGATCCAACAGTGATTTGCTTGTGTTGTAATCCGAGGATAAATAAATAAGGAGAAAATAGCATCAATGACAATGGAGAAAATAATTCTTGTCAAGGTACTTATCAGATAGATCAATTCAACTATTACACATATCTCAATAGAGATATGAAGTAGGGATAGGTATAACATTCCTAAAAGTTGGTCCGCAAATAGGTCACAGATAGTGCCTAGTGGCTTCTTGCAACTGACATTGTAGATGACTACTTAGCTATTTTAAGTAAGAACACTGTGCGGGAATGATGAAAGGCATGTTAGCCACCTAGCTATCTGAAGCAAGAACACTGAAAATGCTCGATCCACGCACCAACCTTCTGAAAGATCTTTCACTGAAGGAGATTAGGTTAGAAGAAGAGAATGAAAAAAAAGTAAAGAAGAGAAGGTTGAGAACTCACCTGAAGAGAAAAGATGACAATTTGTTTGGTGATTTTTTATTTCTTTTTAGCAGTATGAAGACTCAAATGGCATGGCTTGGTGTATAAGATGACATACACGTGATTTGCTAAAAAAGTAGATACATGTGTTCAGTATCAATGAAATAGATCCTTTGGAATTAGTTTGTACAGCAGATGTTGTTGCCCTGTAGAAAAGACAACATGAAAAGTTACGATATTCACCAAACTGATTTTTGTGAACCATATATATACTCCAAAGCAGTGCCTAAAAACCATACCATCAAAAAGAGAATAATCTTGCTACCATCACACTTGTCATATCTATAGATATTAATATTTTTCATTGAACTAATGCATAATCTTTAAATATCTATCAGTTCTTTTAGGAGTAGTGCCGAAAGCATAGACACCATTCTTCTCATTTAATATTTTCTTAAAATTCAGTAAAGAATGCTCAGTAATGTTATAGGCAAATGAGAATAAAACATATTGACAAATAAGTTTGTAGGCAAATGAAGATCCAATGAAATGAACCTTTGTTTCAATCGAACTACCTGACCCGATACTCTAACAAGCTACTTCTTCATGGAGATCAGATCCTTGGTGAAGCAAACAAAGCTTCTATATATATGGAGTTATAGGATAGGTAACCTTCCAAAAAATTGTTCCATAAAGATGTAACAGATAGTACCTCTGAGACATTGCATTTGCAAGTATAGCTGAATTATATCTGCAGAAGTGAAAGAAACACAATGACACTCCAATTAAAGATTATAGTCCTTATTGACTTATTCACGTGAAATGATTATTGATAGATCAATCACTACCACTTCAGTTCCAAATAAAAGAATCAAAGGCAACAGAAAAGAGAAAAAGAAAAATGGAGAGAAATCAGATAAAGAAGAACGTTTAGAATCCCCCAAGAAGATACAGGCTAGTGCCTTAAAACCTCCTCCTTTTATACCTATAGGTATATAGCAGAGTAAAGGAAGTTGAAAGTTCATTTTCCTCCGATAATCCTCTCTAAGTATATTAGAGACAATAGAGCTTCAATATTTTGTGTAGATGCTCCACCTAGAGCATTTTTAACAATTATTATATCATAAACAACCCTTGGAAGAATCTGAATCAATTATAGTTGATGAGATATTGATAGATATTGACTTCTGGATGATCTACCTAATTAACTTTCACCTATAAAAAATCACTTGAACTTTTTTCAAAGTTCGGTTGGTATCGTAGACCAGGCAGAATAGGCCTACCCGTAAACATTTCAGCCATGAGGCAGCCTGCACTCCAAAGATCAATACATATTTCATAATCTGTAGAACTTTGTGGAGCTATTTACCAAAGTGTGACAACTCGACTTGAAAGAGGATGCTCTTTTTCAGGATTGAAGTAGTTCGCAAATCAAAAATCAATAATTTTAGCATTCCATGTTTGTCGATCAACAAAGTAGATCCCTTAATATCTCGGTGCAAAATACCCCTTTCGTGGCAATGTTGCAGCCATGTAAGCAACTGCTAAGTACATAATCCATGCCTACTTTTACTATCTAATAATAATTCTGATGCCTTGTTATCATAAAATTATTGCATCTATCAAAACTAAGTTAGATTCAAGAGAAGCTATAGTTTTCAATCTCGAAATGGACAAAATGCTAGTCACTCCTACGGATTTAGGAGAATCTCATTGAACTTAAGAAGATGGATAAAATTTTACCCCATGATCTTCTCGAAAACTATTTTTTATCACATTTAGAAGTAATTTGAGTAGATAAAATAGAAGACAAATTAAATTACCATTTAAACCATTAGGTGATTGGAAATCTAGAAATAAAAAGGCAGACATTTAAGTAATTAATCAATTTAAACACATACACAAAAGGAAACGGACATTCTCGAGAGCATTTTCTGAAATCGGTCCATCAAGTGAGCGATATGTAATTGATTTTCGAACGAAAGAAAATCTGGCATGCCATGGCTGCAAGCTAGCTAAGTGGCTCATCAGCCATTCTGGTTACCTCGCCAAGATACATGTGCATGCGTGAGTTTTTTTGCCTTATCACTATTTAGATACCTTTTTTATCACCTTTTGTCAAATGGCCCTAACCGAGGGATATTTCAAAGGAGCATGGCCTCAAATTGAATTTCATCGTCCTGTAAACATTTAGGTGAAGCAACTGTTTCAAATAGCCTTAAAAGTAACAAAATTTTCACCAAAAACGCAGAGCAATAATGAACCCCAATCAGCTAAAAAATGCAGCAATAATTTAGCAAAAATGCAGCAATCCTTAAGCCTCAACTTCTGCCCAAAGTGCAACATTTGTAGCAGCAATATTTTTGACAAAAACGCCGCAGTTGGCAAACTTAAAAGTGCAGCAAAGTTTAGCTCAATACATAGCAACCATTGGCTCAAATGTGTAGCAAAATTTAGCTTGACACATAGCAACAATGGACTCAAATTTGATCAAAAGTGTAACAAATAGCTTAGTCTAAAATTCAGCAGCAGTAAAATAAAAAATACAGCAGCCCATGGTTTAGAATACATCACAAAAATGGAGCAGAAAAAGGTCAAAACACAACAGTGATTCAACCTCAAAATGAGGTGTCAAACCATAGCAGCCAACCTCATCAAAGGCAACAATTAATTCTCATCAAAGACAGGAGGTAACAACAAACATGCCAAACAGAAGCTGTTCTAGCAAAGTTATTTCATTGTTAGCCTCAACAAATTGTAGCTGAAGAATGTTCAAAGTGCTGAAGTTGTTTCACTGTTAACAATTATGTTGCTGCCAGAGACGATTCTGTTCTTACCACAATTTTGGCTAGGTTTGCTCATTCAAATAATGGGACGTCAATAGCATAATTTTCTGGGGTTGTCCCTCATCATCACCAAAGCAAGATAGTAGTTGTAAAATGTTGTTTCCTGTTTAGATTTAGCAAAATCAAAGGAATTAGTCTAGGTCACAAGTTAATTTTAACAAAAAGGGACAGCTTGTGAAATGAATCTGTGCCAGAGATGAACCGTTAGCTGCAACTCTATTTTCTCCTCTTATATAATCCATATTTCCTTAAACCACTCTTACAGTTAAAACTCAAACATCACAAAAACGCAAAGACACATATGAGAAGACATTGAGGGATTATGGCACCTAAATTTAAAAAGAACACCCTGTGTTCGTTTGAAATGAACTCAAAATTGGAAACTCACAACCTATAAAGAGGTTAAGAAGTAAAAATCTGAAAAGGAGAAATAGAAGTTGAGTGAGATAGATGTAGCTGAAAAAAGTAGAGGAAGAAGATGATAGGAAAAAGACTTGAAGAGAATAGAAAAGGCAGTATGTGTTTTCATTAACAACATACAAACACCTTTGTTGGTAGATCACTAATTTACTAAATCGAAATAGATGAAGATGAATCAATTACGATAGTTTTTGATAAATGAAATTTTAATTAGCCCGAGAATGAAAATGAGGGCATAATTAGGCAAAAGTTAGAGAAAACTTTGCAAGGCAAACTTCAGGTAAAGTTGAGAGAAATAGAAAACCTCAATACCACATATGAAGTCCTATTTCATTTATGTTCATCACAAATCAAAAGCTAAGAATCCTTTCACTTCATATGAGAACCTGTCTATTCAGTGCCCAGAAAATGTAATCTGTTATTCCTGCAAATTACTGAAAAGGCCACACACCAGAAATAGTGGGGCAAGTTTATGTTAAATGTATCAACAAAAAAGAGAGGGATGATATTCATATTAAATTAATATGAAGCAGAAGAAATTAGATTCTAAATGAACAAATTCAAACTTAAAAATACTCTTCCTTATTCCTTGAAGAATGAGTGTCAAAGGGATTGGTCAAGAAAGATCTTCACAATTTCTGCAGATTAAAAATTTATATCCCCATGATAATATCATAAGATCTAGATAGAAGAAAGTAGTTCTTTTATCATTTAACTTTCATTGTACTTGCCATACATGTTCTAACTAATCCAAAAGAACCTTTGACTACTCTTAATAGAAAGAAAAAAGATGAATGAGAATTTATCTTTGAACTTACGTTTATATTGACCAAAATAGGTCAAAAAAAAGGGAAATAAAATTGGATCAACTCTTTGGCTACTTAATAGAAAGCAATCTTATGATATCATGGGCATATTTTTTCTTTTACTCTTTGGCTACTCTTAATAGAAAGCAATCTTAAGATATCATGGACATATTTTTCTTTGTCCTGCTAAAGATTAGAACTTTAGTTTGTACTTTGTTTTACCAAGTAAAATCGTCAGCACTTGGTGCTATATAAATTACCGCACTTGGACATTGTAATTTCTAAATCTAATAAAACTATAATGAACACTTTTAGGTAAACCAAAGATGATGATACAGAGGGATGGAGTATATGGACTCAGATTCACTCTGCCATTAATCTTTCCTCTAACATTAATAACTTGAGCGTCTCTTGCCAGATAAAAGCATGTTGTAGCTTATTTTTCTCATTTCATCTAATTTACTGATAGTCTTGATTACTGGGTACAAAAAAAATAAAACATGATCAATAATACATATCATTTCAAGGCTAAGTGAGTAGTACTTTTTTTACATGTAGTTAATGTAGGATCTGAAATATGCCTCAAAATTGCCAGAGCTGAAAGATTTTGCTTTTTTTTTTATGGTAGTTGGGAAATTTAAAAATTCATTAGCTTCTTGCTGATAGCACCTAATGACTTACTCCAAGTAGAACAACTTACATCAATGCTAGAAGGGTGATAAACTTGAAATTGCTCTTATGCATACTCCTCATTTAGTAATTTTCTCAGGTAAATGTCATTTGTATTTCTCTTCAATAGCAACCCCTGCATGGTTGAACTCATCTTTCTTCTTCAAATCTTACATACCAAATTAAGGTCCCCTGTTATAACTAAGCACTTCAACAAAATGGTAATCAGTAGAAGGATTTACAACATGAACTGTAACTTAAAACAGAGACTTAATAATCAATATTTTTCACTAATTCATGCAAAGAAAAGTTCCCAGCTATAGCCAAGAAAAATCATTACAAAGAATAATGAAGACACGACACTTCAAAATAACTGCACCTTAAATATCAAGATTCATATATGAAAGAAAAACACACATCTAATTAAGATACTCCACATCAAATATAGTAGTTGTACACCTCTGTTTTAGTTTGGGAAGGCTGAAATAAAGTTCAAAGAATTTCAATTATTTCTGACATCAATGAACCAACACAAGTTATTCTTAAGTTCAAATATCGAGTCAAAACTAAAAAAAATAAATATCTTGAGCTCCTTAGGGAGTTGTCCATTGAATTAAACAAAAGAAGAAAGTGAAAACTTAAAGAGCGACAAACCATTCAAGCTTCAATCTTTGTAGCAAAGGCTGATGAGACTATGAATAGCTAATATTGTCTTAAATTGAAATAAACATTAATCATGAACAAAGAGAGTTCACAAAATAGTCATTTTTCCTCTTCGCAGTAGAGACTGCAAATTACCAAGATCTCCAGCAATCTCATAGAAGATATGGAAACCAATCAATGTGAAGTATATGAGCACAACTTGAAATAATTCTATGTTCAATTGTAGTCGAAGAGGTCATTTTCCTTTTGTTTCTTTCACCGACACTTGTAATCCATTACTTTATGATGTTACAGAAGTCGACTACATATATACTACGAATCAATGGATCATTACTCTAACAATTTGAACATAACTTTCACCAAACATGTTATGTGCAAAGGAAGGCAGAACTTTACCCTTGAAAGAAAATAGTAAACCATAATGTAGAAAAATCGGAACACCCAAGAATATTATTAGATTTCAATAAACATGCTCTAATGAATGGATTAGAGAAAACATCAAACGCGATTAGACAAAACGCATAAAAGAGATGGAAGGAAGATTAGAAATATTTACTGAGCATTTCCAAATTTTGGTGTAAGAAGACTACTCTGTCAAAAATTAAAAAGGAGAACACTTAACACCAATATTAAAGTCGAATTAGCAGTGGTTTTTCCAGTCAAAATCGACTAAATGATCCAAAAGCATGAACATAATATAAATTAAAATACAATACGAAATTGAGAGAAATAGAGTAGTGAAGACGTAAAAAATAAAGACACAAAAAGGGAAGAAATTCTTGTTTTTCTCATCAAATTTTGGAAGTTCCAATCCAGCACTTACTTTTAATACCAGAAATTACTCTGATTCAGCACCATGACCTTAAAATTAGCAAAGAAGATGGATGACTTTTTGGGGCAAAGTTTCAACACCAAAATGGGGGGGAAAGAGAAGAAAGATCAAATCTTGTGAAGCTAGGGCAATTAAGCAGCAATTTGGGTGCAGCAAAGGAAAGTGAAGACAATCTTTAACCAATATACATTGTTGTAAAAAAATAAATATACATAGCAATTCAAGAGCAAAAGTACAGCTGCTTTATGGAGAAAAACAATGAAATGTGCAGGATACAACGCTTCAAGAAAGAGAAAATATTTCTTTCCAATATTGCCCCTGTTCGTCCATGCTTGTTGGCTTATCAGTTTCTGGAATGATGACAGATGGTAATTGAAGGCCTAACACGTGTTATACATAGTGCAGATGTCTTTGTGATATAAATGGAGTCAACTTAAAATTATGTTTTTGTCCCTGTTCGTCCTCTCAAACTCCCATTTCTAAATAAGGGTAATAATAAATAAGGGTAATATATAAGAGAAAAATATAATAATAAGGACAAGTCAAATTATATATTGCCACAAATTATTTTCTAAGAATTTAATTTTTGACAATTCATTTCATATAAGATAAAAAATTAATAACATGTTTTTTTGTTGCAATTTAAGTTAGAACACTCATAATATTCTCCACTTACCTCCTTATTCTTACTTTTTCCCTTTCTCTTCTTTCTTGCGGTTGTTCCTAGGGAAAGGGTAAAAACATGCTCGCAACGTATTAAAAATGATTGGATCAATTTTTTCCGTCTTTCTATCTATTGGGGCAAAAAATGTCCTCAATCTATTTGAAATGGTTTAAATTTGCCATTCTTCTACCAAAAAAATCTTTAGCAAAAACAATTTTTTTTTATCAACCACTAGTTAAGTAGTTATGTGTCCGTGCTTCGCGGGGTCTCAAAATAACTTATTAAAATTTATAAATAAAATACTCAAAATATCTTTTAAAAAAAGATTTAAAATTTGAGTAAACTAAGTCTCGCTTTTAAATCCATTTTACTACTATTAGCATTATAGTTATATATCTTTTTTTTTCATTACTTAACAAATTTAGTCTATTACAACTATTGAGGTTTTTATATAATTTAGGGATAAGGCAGAAGTACCCCTTAGACTATGACCGAAATTCTAGAGACACATTTGGGTGATCGTTGTTCGATTGACCAAGTCAACACACTTCCTTCCTGCTCAGTCTTCCTTCAGTGCCGAGAGCTTAGCTAGTGCCTACATTATGGAGGTAGTTCGTCTTCACAGGGTACCGATATCTATTATTTTAGAGCAGGATTCCCAGTTCATTTTCAGCTTTTGGAGGACTTTTCAGGAAAAGTTGGGCACATGTGTTGATCTTAGCACATATTTTCACCCACAGACGGACGAAAAGTCATAGCCCACTATTCATCTTTTGAATGATGTGTTGTAGTCTTGTGTTTCAGACTTTAGAGGTTAGTGGGACTAAAGTCTCCAGGTTGATTTCCTGAAAGGTCCTCCAAAACCTGGAAATGAACTAAGAATCCTGATCTAAAATAATAGATATTGGTACCCTATGAAGACAAACTACCTCCATAATGTAGGCACTAGCTAAGCGCTTGGCACTGAAGGAAGACTAAGCGGGAAGGAAGTGTGTTGACTTGGTCAATCGAACAGCGATCACCCAAATGTGTCTCTAGGATTTCGGCCATAGTCTAAGGGGTACTTCTGCCTTATCTCTAAGTTATATAAAAACCTTAGTAGCTGTAATAGACTAAATTTGTTAAGTAATGAAAAAAAAAGATATATAACTATAATGATAATAGTAGTAAAATGGATTTAAAAGCGAGACTTAGTTTACTCAAATTTGAAATCTATTTTTAAAAGATATTTTGATATTATAAAAATATTTTATTTATAAATTCTAATAAGTTATTTTGAGACTCCGCGAAGCACGGACACATAACTACTTAACTAGTAGTTGATAAAAAAAATTGTTTTTGCTAAAGATTTTTTTGGTAGAAGAATGACAAATTTAAACCATTTCAAATAGATTGAGGACATTTTTGGCCCCAATAGATAGAAAAAAGGAAAAAATTTATCCAATCATTTTTAATACGTTGCGAGCATGTTTTTACCCTTCCTAGGAACAACCGCAAGAAAGAAGAGAAAAGGAAAAAAATAAGAATAAGGAGGTAAGTGGAGAATATTATGAGTATTCTAACTTAAATTGCAACAAAAAAATATCTAATTAATTTTTTATCTTATATGAAATGAATTGTCAAAAATTAAATTCTTAGAAAATAATTTGTAGCAATATATAATTTGACTTGTCATTATTATATATTATATATAAGAGGACGTTTTCAATAGAACTTGTCATTGTCATTTGATTGGGAACATGTTATTTTGAGATCAATTATCCCGAGATAAGTAATTTCTGAAGAAGTTATCCCACCATGTATATAAGATAACTCAATTCAGTATGGTATAAATTAGGGTTGTTCAAAACCGAACCGAAACCGATAATCCAAACTGAAAAAAAGTTATTGATTTATCAGTATTAGGTTATTGGTTTAGCGGTTTTGATAATGGGTTTGATTTTTTTATTATCGATTCTTAACGGTTTGAGGTTTTTTTCTTAACGGGTTAACCGCAAACCTGATAGTAAATTAAATATTATATTTATACCATTTTGTATAAAGTCCTTGACTAAGAGTTTGATTTCCTACTTTTATTTCTGGTTGTCTCAAACTCCTGGTTATTCTATAATGTAAAAGTGTTTGCTTTTGAGCAAGATGTAATTTGTAAACTCATGTGCATGGTTCATTTGATTTGTCACATTGTTTCTAGGGCTAACCCATCGGTGGCCTCCTAAACTTGACACAATCTTTCACTTAGACACCTCAATAGAAGGATTTTCATTTTAAACACCTAACATAGGGTCTCGGTGTGTCACTTCAACACTTTTTACACAGCTGGAATGTCACATGATTTTCACTGATTCAAGGCGCGTAGGGACCTATATTTCTTCTGATGTGGCGTCCCCAAAACGGTAATATTATTCCACATCATCTATTTATATTTATTTTTTTCTCCAATTGTACCCTAATTAAGACCCCAATTTTTTCATTCTTTTCCAATTTCTCTCTTCTTCAGCCTTTCTTTAATTCTTGTCCCTTAATTCTTTCATGTCGAGCTTCTCCAATTCTTCCATGGCATCTGTGGATGAAGGTCGATATTGTAGGTGTGGTAATGAAGCACTATTAAAGACTTCATGGACCCAATTAAATCCAGGGAGTAGATTTTTACTTGTAGAATTTCAAAGGTAAAATTCTTTGTTTCCCTTATTTTTTTAAAGTCAATTAGATGATTAATTATTGGCGTCTAATTCTTTTTGATTGATTTTATAGAAAATGGGTGGCTGTGACTATTTTCTTTGGTATGAAGATCGACACCCTCCTCAAGCAAACAGGGTAATGTGGGGATTGTTGAAGAAAGTCAATGCTTTTGATGAAAAATTAAAGCAAGCAAGACATATATTTATTGTTGGTGTCGTTGCTACTGAGTTGGTGATGTTTGGAATATGAAAATTGAAGCCTAATTGTTAGTGTTCTTGAGGTGTAGTAGTATTTGGTGTTCAGTCTAGTAGTATTTTGATGTTGTTATTGCTGTAAATTTTCGATGTAAATGTGCATTTTGGATTCAATGAAATTCTATGTTGTTGTTGCAGTAAAATTGGTTTTTTGGCTACATACAAATCTCAAATTCGTTCTCACAATGTAACACCAAAAGCAAATAGCAACCAATTCATCACAAATTTCTCAAAATGTAGTCATATTCGTCACAATGTAACACCTAAATTACACAAAATGTAGACAGTTATATTGCATGCTCCATAATGAGCTCAAAGTTAGCATTATGCTACATACCATTCAAGGCTACAACCTTAAAAAAAGTGTACCAAAATAAGTCCCCAAAATAAAGCTAGCATAATCAAAAGCTACATACAACCTTCACAAAAGTGTTTACTAGTACCAAAATAAAGCTAGCATACTCCAAAAACATTAGACAACAAAATAAGGGCCCAAAATCAACCTATTCTAAGTTGGTATTACTTATTCTTTTTGTTTGCCATTTGCTGCAATTGGAAAGTGGTGACATCATCTTTGTTTTTCCATCTCAAGCCTCTAGGCTTAAAGCCAAGGTCTATACCCATTAAACTTGCATCCTTATAACTTGAACCTGTTGGTAGAATCCTTTGACTTGAAGTCCCAGGCTGCTTTTTTGAAGAAAAAACCAAAATTAATATATCAACTTGCATTCATTTAAGAGACAAAGTTTGTGACAAACTTATGTTTAGTATTTGGGTTTCACTTGCACTTCTGTAGATTCCAAATCCAACATTACTTGATCCACCATTTGTTGGCCTCTTTGGTCCCCCTCTTGCAGAATCTTCTCCAGTTGCAACTCTTCCTCTTTTCTGTCCAGCAGTTTGTCTTGTCTTTGTAGGTAGTTGACTGGTTATTCCTCTTGTAACAGGAATACTTGTATCCACAAATGGTGGTGGTTGGCTTGTTTTTGCAGTTTCCCTTGCCCTCTTAACTCTACTGGTATCACCACAAACTGTTGTTGAAGAAGCATGATTGCTTGATGTTGTTGATGCAGGTTGGTTGAATCTTGTTGGTCCAGGTTGGAAGGAGCTTGTTGGTTCAGGATGGCAACTTCCTTGTGAACTTTGACCAGCAGTAAATTGTGAACTGTGGCTAGCTGGTTGTGAAGTATGGACACCAACCTAAATATCAAACATAAAGTTTGTTCATTAATTCAAGAAGAATTTTAAAAAGGCACAAACAAATAATAAGTTATTTTACCTTGCAATATTTCTTGTTGTGGCCTTGTTGTTTACACTTGGAACAAGTAATTTTCAACCCTTGTTTGGACATCTTTCCATACTTCTTTCTTGATTCATCTTTACTCTTTCTTCTATTTCTTGGAGGTCTACCAGGCATTTGCTTAGGTTCAGGAGGCTCAATCCTTGGATTGTTAGTTTCAGGC